GGAAAAAGTTTTTTTTTTTTTTTTTTTTTTTGAGACAGGGTGTCACTATGTAGTTGAGACTGACCTGGAACTCACTATGTAGCCCAGGCTGGTCTCGAAGTCATGGCGATTCTCCTACCTCAGCCTCCCGAGTGCTGGGATTACAGGTGTGCGCCACCACACTCAGTTAAGGAACAAGAATTTTAAGAGAAAAAATTGTATTGTTCTGCTGTTATGGATGTTCCAAAACTGGAACACTAGGCTTTTTAAAGGGTTAAAGAAATTAATCACTGAGGAAATGATGTCTATGATGTCTTGATGATTATACCATATTTTCAGTTTTATATTTTCAGAAAAACTTTATAGTCAACAGCTGAATATTTTTTCCTTTCTTTTAAACTAGACCCTAGAAAAACCTTATTAAAATTCTAGAATGCGCCTTCAATATCTTCACATCTTTTATATTTATGTAAAAGAAATGTTTGTGAGAAGTATCTCATAATTTTGAGAACCTTAGACTTGCTTAAAACTTAAGCATTTCTAATACAGTAGGAGTGAGTGGTGACAAAGAATAAACTGTTACTGCTTATGCTTTCACAGATAAAACACAGTAATTCTAACTGAGCACACATGCTTTCTACGTTTGTCACTATGCTAGCTGAGGTCCAGTATTCAGAATACTCTGCTGTCAAGCTTGTTCCATCGTAGCCACAAACTGGTGAAGCGGAAGTATCAGGACTCACCTAAAAGCCGGAACCCCTCGTGAGCTTCTGGGTTAGCTCCTCCCAGGGCGCCCTTTCAACTTCACCCGCGAGCTCAGCCCCTCCTCTTCTTCCCACACCAGTTCAGTCCTGCAGCATGTGTTTTTCTTTAGCTTACTGCATATGTGCCTTGTGCTCTACTAGGTTCTGGGGTTACAGACATGAACGCAGAGTGGTCCTTACTCTAAAGAGGCCCCGGGGTAGCTGGGATGAGAAAGACAATAGACCCCCCACCCCATTTATTAAACAGAAGCACACGGAAGATGCTTTGGGGGCCCTTAGCCCAGTGTTGTGGGAAGCAGTATCCGAGAAATCTTTTACTGTTCTGTTCTGTAATGTTTCTGACAGAATAGAACCAACAGCTAAAATTACTTGATTTCTTCCTCTCTTTGTAACTTATTTACTCCTTCATTTTGTACTTTAAGTTTTGTAGCTTCTATCATCCCAACTTTGCCTTTGTCTCTTTATTTCTGCTACTGTTGATCATCTTCAGGCTCTTTTTAGCTTACATTGATATGCTGTACTTCTAACTGCACTTTCTGCAGCTAAACTTTACATCCATTTTGTATTCCTTTTCCAGAATAGTTTCTGACTTTATTTATTTATTTATTTATTTTTGTACCAGGGATCGAACTTGGGCCCTTGAGCTTTCCAGGCAGGTGGCGAAACGATAGCTAAATCCCCGGCCCCAGAAGAGTTTCTGAAATGTTATTTCCCTTATGTAAAAGCTCCTCTTAAGAAAGTGCAATAATTACATGTATCTCTTCCTAGTTCCAATTGTCTTAGCATTATAATCCCTTGATAAATTTATGTTTACAGGTTATTTACTGGATGTGGTGAAAACAAACTCCCTCACCTTCCACAGTCTTAACAAATTTTGCCATTGATTTGCTTCCCCCGCCTTCTTCTCCGCTGGGGATTGAACCCAGGTTTTTTTGTTTTGTTCTGTTTTTTTAACTGAGCTACATCAACAACCCATTTTTTAATTTCTTCTTTTTAGTCAAGGTCTTACCGAGTGGTTAAGTTAAGCAGGCTGGCCTCACACCTGAGGGCCTCAGCCTTCCAGAGCCCTGGGATTACAGGTGTGTGCCAGCACGTCCAATTTACGTTTAATTTGTGAGGGCTCTGTTTTTGGTGGGGATGAGATCAACGTGTTCCAGATTATTCAGTAATAACTGAGGTTTGCTCAGAATGTTTTCCATTTAGGGTCCTACATTGAGTCCATTAGAAAGTAAACAACTTACTCCATCATTTTCAGAAATTTTTTATTGTTGGCTGTGCTTTTAAATATTTAATTCTACCAGTATTTCTTGATCCTTCCTAGGGACTGTGCTGGTTGTTGGAGAGATCAAAATAGATAATGGAAAGTTCCCATCTTTGAGAGGGCTACAATCTTGCCTAAATGAGAAAAGGGTGATGAAGCTCATCCCTATTATACAGCACATTGACACATGTGCTGCAAGAAAGCCCTACTTTCTTCCTCTGTGAGCCCGCAATAGGGAAATCATTTCCATTCTCAGGGAACAGGGGAACTCTTCATGAAATGTAGATCTTGAAATTTTCAGCATGGCTACATTTGCAACAAATGGAGATGCAGACGGGAAAGAAGGCAGAAAAAAATCCGTATTTATCCAGATCCGAAAGAAGCCACGTGAAACCGGAGTATAATATTGTGAGAGACAGCAGGGTGGATGGATCAAGGGACAGCAACAGGCACAGAGCACTGAGGACTTTCAATGCGCAATGGCAGGCAGTCCCCGTGGGCTTTCCAGCAAGCTATCACCCTTGTCAAAGTCGAGCTGTGTGGTTTGTCCTTGAAGTCTTGTAATAAATAGACGAGAAACATTAGAGAAATTGTGTTTAGAGCAGCCATGAAGTTTAGATAGCGAACCTGCAATATACGAGTTTAGCGGAAGGGGAAGGGTGATAGAAGTATATTAGGATTAAAACATTACAGACAGCAGATTCAGTGGTCGTGAGGAAGAAATAGGAGGATGAGTTTGGGGGAAACTTTTTCTTCTACAGTGCAGTGCGGAGAGAGATACTGGACATTTAAACAAAGAACAAGAAGTCTGTAGGTAAAAAAGACCTTGTGAAATTTTCAACATTTAGTTTGCTTGTGTTTTTTTCTTCCTTTTCTACTTGATGTTAATAAATTCAGAACTTCACCCAGATTTACAGTATGTTAATGTTTGCCTACAGTAGCTGTATCTCTCCTTCCACGTACATACATTTTTCTGTTTGTTTTTGTGGATGAATTGAAAGTGAGCAAAGAGCATCAAGTTGCTTTATTTCTAATTACTCTAGTATGTATCTTTGAATAACTGAGACTATTGCTACTTGATCATACCTTAAATGTCTCGGGTCAGGAACCGGCAAAAAGAATAATGATGCTAATGAGCACAGTGAATGAAAAAGAATGCATGAGTTCTCCAGTTTAGAGAAGATGGCATCTAATAAATACAGAGGAAAATAGAAGTAGAAAATTTTGGTACTGCATCCAGCCACGTAATATCTGATTCAGGCAAAGTTCATCCATTGGGCATTAATAGTGT